GCTGAACCAGGACAGCACAGTTTTGCCTGTTTTCTCTTGCTCTTGACTCTCCCCAGGGCTCCTGGTTTTAGAGGCAGTGAAGATGGCTGCTGGGCGCTTTGGTGTGAGGCTGGAAGGGTATGTCTCCTGCCTTGTGCTGCCCTGGGTGTAGCTGGAATGCAGATTTACAGCATGGTTGTCGCTTTAGGTAGATGAGAGCTCAGGTTTGAGCTCAGGTTTTCTTTCTCAGGATAATGTGCTGTTCTCGCCCAGTGCCAGTACGCGCTCTCTGTTGTCCCAGATAACACTTGCTTTATCTCCACAGTAAGCACAGGGAACACCCCAGAAGTCTCTTTACCCTGGCCTTGGCCAAGATTGAGCAAGCACCCTTGTACTTGCAGTCCCCAAAGGTATTTCAGCCTCGGGGCTTTGTATAAATCAAAAGCTATTACATGTGGGAGCTCATCAGGGAGGGTTCCTCTTGCTTCTAGGACACCTGGCAATAAATACTGGTGACATTTCATGCCAGGCTATGCTGTGCTACCCAACAGAGCTCCCTCTATGGGAGATAATGCTCCATCCCCATTCTTTGCCCAGACAGCTTGTTGGGCTAAGGGCCCTACTTGGGGTCTAAAATGTTTGGTTCTCTCAGGGACTGTTTCACCAAAACTGAGGCACTGTCTTCAGGTTAATGCAAGTGATGGGACCACTCCACGTGTTTGAGGAAGCCACACAAACTCCACTGGGAGATGATGGCTTTTGATCAGCTTTGAGCAAATACTGGATGCACCCATCAGCGGCACACTTTCATGGTCTGAATGTCTCATTAAACAGCCTAAACTGCACCCCTTGCCCTCCTCCAGCTATGACTGGGTGTGGGGTCAGTGCACTGAGCTTTCTGTGCTGCCCTAAACTGATCGGCTCCCTCATTTGGGTTCACAAAAGTGGTGCTGAATGCTGCCGGCCTGCAGTGTTTTTTTGCTGCACCATGAAGTGGCATCCTCCCCACCGCAGCTTGTTTCCACTGCCACTGGCGCTCCAGAAAGCTCTTGCATAAGAGGAAGATAAAGGGAATAACTGCAGGGCTTGCTTCGAAGTAGCCTGGCATTGCACAGGCATGATTCACTCCTCGGTGTTTGCAGAGCTGTATTAGCCACCCTGGCCTGCTGCAAGGAGCCTGTATGGTGTGCGTGGATGCAGGTGTTTGGTGCTGAGTGGGAGAGCCAGACCCCCGGGAAGAAGAAATGCTTTCCAAATCCTGCTGAGCTCATGATTGTATGATTGCTTTAATCTGGCCTAAATCTGTGCTCCGGAAGGGCTCCAGCATCTCTTGCTTACCTGTTCTTGTGCAGGTGAGATGAGTTGGATCAGGCCAAGCTGGTGAGTGCAGCTGTGAGCACAGCCGGCTCCTGTCATGATATGCCCCAGGTCTCCCTTCTGCACCCTCCCTGCTGCAAGGGGCTGGTGCTGGAGCTCCTACCCCACTGTCCGTGGATTTCAACGCTCATTCTGTCCTGCAGAGAGCTGGCACCCAGGCTGCAGGCTCTGTCCCCAGGAAGTGTTCTGGCATCCCACCTACACCAGCTTAGCTCCTCTGGTCCCTTGCGTTAGCGCACTCCCGTGTGGGGTAGGCAGGAGGTGAGCGGGGTTTCATGTGCTGAGCACATGCTGGTCTGAGTGCGGATTCCTTGCCTCAGGGGAGCCCAACCCTCCTAATCAGAGGGCCATGAGCTGGCCCGGCCAGCTTCCCTTCCCCACCCTCCCTCTGTTTGCTTTGGAGGGTTTCAACCACCGAAGCTGTGATTTTGTGCCGAAGAAGCCACAGGGCTGGAAGAGAGCAGAGTCGGGCTCCCATCCTTGCCACAGCGCTTGGGCCAGCGTCCTCCAGTCCCAGCTTTAGAAGCCCCTGTCCCCCCCAGGGCATCAGGCCTGCCGTGAAGCGTGGCCGTGTGACGGCCTCTGCTGGGAGATTCTCCCCTCTCCTCCCTTTCCCAGCTCCCGGAAGGGGGAGCCCCCAACGCTGCCCCCCCCCGC